ATAAGTTGTCGGTGGATGATCTGATCGAAGCGATGGACTTGAAATCCATTACTCACCGGGAGGTGAGCTGCTATGGTATCAGCGCGAAAGAAGAAACCAACCTCGATGCAGTCCTGCACTGGTTAATCGCGCGCGCCAGCCGATAGAGGTGACTGACCCGAGGATGGCAGCCGAGGGAATCGACCGAGTGATCGAGCCCTCGTCATCTTTTCATTCTTCATCTCGTTCGCGAGATTGGAGATCGTAGGCTGCAGCCGTTGTGCGCGGCTGGCGGCCTATTTGTAACGATGTGAACGTTTTCTGTGAGCCAGGCACATTGTTCGATTTCTAGCGAAGCTTTCCGTTCCATGGATGTTATGTTAATGAGATAGTCTTTGGAGTTGTTTATCGCATATCTTGCATGTAATCTATCATCAAATCGAAGAGAGCAGATCATCGATCGAGAAGATAGGTGCCGTGACCGGCCCACCTTTACCCCAGAAAGAGAGATCCGAGGTGGAGAATGTGTCTGATGCGTAAGAGGTGTAGAATCTGTTGATGCGCCTCGAGTGGATTCGAGTATAAAAGGGAAAGACGTAGAGAGAGCGCCATCAGTCGCACACTTCATTGCACCGGGCAACACTGCAAGAACTGGAACACTGGCACTTGTTGTTTGAAGGGCATGACCTTCTTTTCATTCAGAAGGTTAGGGAGGATGTTAATTGAGGGGGGATTAGGGAGGAGGGGAAAAGGAAAGAAACAACAGGGCAAACCCAAACAAAAAAAGGAAGACCAGACACACACGCACACACACGCACACAGACCAAGTGATGCGTTGGCATTGCAGATGCGAAGACGGGAACTAAGCAAGCCTTCCCATGTCTCTCCAGCAAATCCCAGCCCCGCCAACAGGGTCCAGCGAAGGTTCGGTGGCCCTGCCCGTTTGCGCGCTGTCATCGCAGGGGACTTGTGATTGGGATGTGGGTGGTTGGTATTCTTTGAAGTTGAGTACAGTACATTAGCTACTACCGACCTAGTAGGTATAGAGTAGTCAGGTTGGAGACTTAGGGTTGGGACAGGAATGCGCTTGGCTGGGTTCGAGTAGTTCCCTCTCATTTGAGGTATGTATAGTAATCAAGATGGTAAGTGTGGCTGTTAGATTTACTTACACTAGGATAAGCATGAGCTTGCGCGTAGGGAGCGTCGCTGTGTCGGTTCGATTCTTCCTCTTTGCTATACCGGGATTTGGAATGGCATAGATGCCAGCAATATGTTGGTTGGGCCCAATAAACTAAGATCACTGATAGCACTGCCACTTGTATGCATAGTGTGCATAAAAGCTTTCCCCGTACAGTGACCCTCACTTTACTGACACTACAGAGCTGTATGTAGGCTGCGCGAATACTATGGATCCGATGCCCTGGTCCTCTGGTCTGCCTTGCGGTGGATGATATCATGCCGAGCCAGCACAGCCTCGAAAAGTGTGTTTGGAGTGTCCGTCCACGGTAGCTCGAATCGATCGGGCAATTTACTCGTGGCACCGGATCACGAGATGTGAGTTTCGAGGAAGAAAGCTCGTGATGTGATGCTGACTTAACTTGTAGTTAGTTGTCTGTAATACAATACAAATCCCTGTTTCCATCCGACCGTCGATTGCGGGTGGCGGTCATCCGAGGTATCCGATGCCATGCTACTGTATGTACTATACATAGTATGAGTAAGGTATGGCAAGTAGGCACCAAAATTGATTTCGAGTGAGGTCGAATGAGGTACGAAGGACGGTGAAAGGATCAGGGATTAAGTTGTGAAGGTGAGCAGAGATGGGTCTAGTCTGCGAGCCTAAGACGGACTTCTTTGTCCGCCGTAGTTTTTGGTTTGTACTGTACAAAGTTATGCAGTTGTTGATGAAGTGTGGCTGAATGTACGGTGACAGTGCATACATACATACAGGGAAGCGGTCATTGGGAGCAACGATGACCTCGGATGACTTCATTACTCAGGGTGCTCTTGCGAAAAGGAAAAGGAAAAATCTCGACGGTACTCGAATTGATTCAATGTCACGGTCGATGAGGCTAACATTCAATCTCTGACTTACTCATGTTTCAATTTTAGGAAGGCCAAGAAAAGGAACCTGACTAGTTCTCCAAGGCTTTTTCCCCCCAGCCATCCTGAAAACAGTTGATAAGTTCCAATTCCTTACACTAAACGGAGGAATCCACTTCTTTAGCCACAGCCCTACCCAATAGACTAGACTAAACCACTTACTCCGACTACTTAGTACTTACTACCTAATCAACTTTTAGCCGTGCAGTTCCTTTCACTCAACTTTTGGCTGCTGCCTTCTGGTACCCGCCCCAAGAAGAACTTCTTCACTCGCCCACTCACTCTTCTCTCTCTTCTTTTCTCCTCTAACATTGTTCCTGGCCCAAGTTCTTCGCTTGCCCAAACCTCTCTTCAACTCATTTGATTCGACATCTCTTCATATCACCTTATCTTGCACTCGTTTCATCAATCTTCTTTACCTGCCGATCGACGTCATCCTCCGCCGCCTCCCCCCAGAGTATCGCCTCGCATCGGCAGGTTCAGCCACCATGGGTGTTCTGCTACGTCGAGATTGGTATGTAACTTCACCGCACCATGGCATCGGCTACATTCGCATCTCATGGATGTACGCCATGGATACACAAGATTTCCCCAACATTGCTAACGACTATCTAGCCGGGAGACATATAATGGCTATGTCTGCGATGGCAATAGCTGGTACGATTGGGGTCGATGGATCGCCTTCGCTGTCATTGTTGGAGTAGCTTTACTTGTCTTCTTCCTCTTCGCGTATGTTCTCCCCTTCCTCCCTGTGCAAGAATAAGCCAGAAGACTAATTATGTTGGCAGTTGCTTCAATGCTCGCCGTCGGCGCAGACAAGGCCTTCGTCCCCATCCCGGCACCGCATGGCTCGCAGGCCCTCCGCCGACATTTCAGCAATCGCAGCAACAGCAACAGCCTGGACAACCGTACTACGCAGACCCTTACTACCAGCCTGCCCCGCCGCCGCAATACTCCCCTCATCCTCAGTATGGCTACTTTGGGGGCCAGCAGCAAACGGGCATTGAACTGCAAACACCACAGAACGCCTACCACAATGGCGGCGAACGTGTATATCAACCACCGCCGGGCCCTCCTCCGGCCTCCAAGGTCTAAGCACACCTGCCTTTGCTTTTCCACCAACGAATTGAAACACTATGTCTATTCTCAAGGAGTCTCTTGATCGGCCGTCTATATGAAATCGTCCAGGCCGTTGGTTTCAGTCGCGCCACTGGAAAATGTCGCCCACCACCTCGCGACCGACTCGAGGAGAGGCTGTTACGAGCAACATGTGTGACGGGACTCATGAGTATCTTTGTGTTGTAATCCCTATTCCTTACTCATATTTTAATGGCTTTGTCCGGGGTGTTGATCTATGGTTTCGTCTTTTTTTTTTCTTCTTTCTTTCTTTTTCTCGTCTCTATTGGGAGCCTGGTTTGCATGACGTTTCGATACCTTCCATTGCACCTACTATTCTTATCTGTGTCATACGGTCCTCCTGCTTTTCGCCGTGGCATGTCTCCTACACCAATGTCAATTCTGCTCTAACACATATAAATGCACTCCTGAGAGACGATATGTTGTGCAGTGGATCTATATTCAAATTAGGATAGCCCTGTCAGTTTCTTTGCCGATGCTGCCTATCTTGTCCATTCCTGGGAATTTATTTTTGTTTGGGAGTTCAAGGGGAGAACAAGTGAGCACCGCAGCGCAGGCCATGGGTTAGGCAGCCGAGTTCTGCCATTGCGCTGCTTGGGGGTCCCCCGCGCTTCACAATCATCATCATACTTCCTAGTTCTGATTCGAGTCTGAAGAAACTCGATCAACTGGCTATGATCCCCTTTTGTAGTTTTGGATCCTATGTAGATTATCATATGGATGAGTATGATCGTAATTTACTACGGACATGATGCCACGGAGGTTCAGTGGGCCCTGCGCCTACCAATGAGGGGGTTTCATCTTCGTTTCGATCGACACTGGTGGAGTGCGACCGAGGAAGGGGGGAAACGACAGTTTCAAGTGCATTTTTAGTCAACTTACTCAGTGATAAGGGCGAGATGGGGCCGCAAATACGAGGTTTGTGGTGTTTGATCGGTTGATGGCTGATGGTTGTTCTCTCCTCTCTCCGCACTCATGGAACGCCGATCTCTGGACTGAAGTTCCTTCTTCTCTCTTCCGTTCCGCTTCATCCAACTCCCGCCTTTCCTCCTCCTCCTCCCTTCTCTACCTCTCCTTCGTTTTGGCTTCTAATTATCCCCCATCCCCCCTCCCCGGTCGCTTAGGGTCTTCCTAGCGGCGCCTTTCGCTCTATCCGGCTCCCTACTTCCCAGTCCTGGAAGGGGAACCAATGCCTTGCAGGTGTGTCTGAAAGTCTACATCTGATCGTTCATTTACCTCCTTCCCCCTAAAGGCGGTGCTCTTTGAGCGCACGCACAACCCTCGAAACAAAGATCATTATCCATCCATCCAGTCTTTATTACACTGTCGCATCAATCTGTCCATTGTGAGGACACAGATTATCATATCCTGTGCCCTTTTAGAACGCGCCATTCGATTCCACCTTGCGCACATTCGGCATCGCGCACAAGTCGCAACCCGAGTCACTCATTGCACCCAGACCGAAGGAGCGGATGGATACATAAACAACACATACATACATTCATTCATTATCTTCGGCATTATTGCTATTCCCGATCCCAATTACTCCGAAACGACGCCCACGATTGCTATTCGGGTTGATACCGCTCCTTTGGTTAGCATAACGTCGCAAATTACATGACCGCATCCGACGTGTCCGGAACACGTTTACAGAACAGACTCCGAGGTCTACAACTTTGACCGTTTACATTCGTTTTACCCAATCCTTGAAGAAGAGTGGGGTGTTTCTTTGGATAGACTAGCGGCAAGGTTAGTAGAACACACGGACTGCCAGGGCCATAATGAGTCCGGTGGATACGGTCCCCGCCCCATTGTGGGCGCGAGATATAGTCAGCGATCTCAAGTCTGCCTCTTCTACATTCTCGAGTTGGGATAGTTGCATGTCCAAGGCTTACTGCAAGTACGTTATACGAAGATCGCATATCAATCCCCCCTACAATACTCTCAGAATCTGACCAGAGTTTCTAGGTGGCCTGTCATTGCGGCTATCATCGTCGGCGGGCTCATTGTTCTGTCCGTCGTAGCGTGTATTGTCAACTGTCTATGTTGCGGCATTCAGTGCTGCAAAGGATGTTGCGGATGTTGTTCAATGTGCTGCCCGTCGCCTCGAAACAGGCAACGCAAAGCCAAGCACTTGGATGATCCGTACCCACTCCCAGATATGCCGGGGCCTATGCCAGGGACTATGCCGCCTCCGATGCCAGTCAAGTCTCCATATCAAGCCCCGCAGCCGCCGCCCGTGTATCGAGGAACGGAAGTCGCTCGATTTGATGCTCCGACAAGCCCTGCAGGATCGAAGTTCAACGAGGATGCGTTGCCTGCCATGCCCAGCTGGGATAATGCTGTGACTAAGAGGGTGGAAGATACAGGCCCCCATGTCGAGGCGGTGGAGTTGGAGTCTATGAATCATGTCAGTCGCGAGCCTCGTCGGATGCCTTCTGCGCCTAGAATGAATGGAGGAGGGGTGGGTGGTGGAGGCTACATGGGCCCTCCACCGGTTAGAACTGGCACTCCTGGTCAGTATCCCATTCGGACCGGCACACCTGGTCAATATCCTGTCAGAACTGGCACGCCCGGGCAATACCCAGAGAGGACGGGCACTCCTGGTCATCACCTTGACCGGACAGACATTCCTGGCCACTACCCCGAGCATCAAGACTACAATGCACAAACACCTCATGGGTACGACGCGCAGAACACTTACGGGTACAATCACAATGGCCCTAGATCGCCTCCTCCCATTTCTCCATACGATGAGCAGCCTTACAATCATGGCTTCCCTCATGAAGAACGGTATCATACGATGTCACCGGCTCCAACCTACACCACGCAGCCAGCTTATGCACCAGCGGAGCATCCGCAGCCTTATTATGTGCCATCGGAAACCCCACTCCCTCCATATATGCCCATGGATCGAACACGATCTCCGGCTCCCGCTCTCTCATCGGCCATGAATGCTCCTAGGCCCGTACCGTACCGCCAACCTTCCCCGGCGATCAGCCAATACATACCTTACCAAGGAGTCTCTCCGGTCACCCCTCCCTCACCACCGTCTTTCGCTGCCGCGCCGGCTCCCCACGAAGCTAGTGACCCGGGCAGGCCCCCGAGTCTCCTGCAGAGCGGACGGAGGCCGGTGCCCAACTCTTACCGGGACGTTTAAAACATCGTTATGACCACGGATTGATACCCGCCTGTGTTTTGAAATTCAATTCAAGAATTCCCAATGACCCTGAATGTCGAAGCCATTATGACGCAAATCAACATGACCTGACCAAGTTTAGGTAGAATCCCCAACGCAAGGATATGGGCTACCATGATATTCGAAAACTTCTAGACAAGCCCACTCACACCCTGAGTGAGCCTCTTTCTACCTGGAGAATCCCCACGCAAGCAGTCAAGACCGAGTTTCACGCCGAAAAGTGACCCAGCGCTGCGCTGCGCATCTCCTTCTTGCATTCATCTTTGGTTATCAGAGAGCCCTTGGCCTTCTCTAATCATCGGAATGCCACACTATACGTCCTAGCCCCCAGACCTTTTTGCCCGTGCATGACCTTGTATATACCTTCCCTTGTATCATACTTGGTCCGATATGGCCCGCTTGGATAAAATCCTGCATGATGTATCTTTATTTGGTATATGTGATGATTGTGAAGTAAATCAAGTGGAATGGCTCCTGCCGTACAATCCTGCCTGGATATTCGATCTCGTATGGTTCGCCGAGTGAGGAGCTTCAAGACACCTGGGCCCATGCTATCTCTTGCATGCCCCGTCTTCGTCCTCGCTACAGTATCTCGTATTACATGTCGACGTAACCATTGTCATGTCTGACTATGTCTGACTATCCAATGAATACCATCCAACTACAGAGTACCGCCACGCTAAACCCCTATGAGACAGTACATACGGTAAGGTATAGTCGAATCAGCTGCAGACAAAAACCCCATCCGCAAAAGAATCGGCCGGGTATTGTTTGTATTGGGAATGTGAGCCCCCTATAAAAATACACTTCTACCTTGCGCGAAATACCCTAGATAGTAGAATCAAAGCCAAGGTCCTTCAGTTTTCGCGTCCCAACCCTGGCGAACCTCTCGTTTCTTTGGTCTATAAGGTGAAGTCAAACTCCTTGAACGCCTCCTTGAAGGCCACCGCATCCGCTTCCTCCTGCTCCTGCGACTGGACGTCCTTGCGCCAGTCGATCCGCTTCTCCAGTTCCATTAGCTTGGCCATGACCCGGCGTCCGAATTGGAGGTCGAACCGGAACTCCGGGCCGAGGGGGAGGAGGATGGTTTTGTCGGTGCCGGTGCCGGGGGCTGGGGCTGGGGCTGTGGCTGCTGTTGTTGTGGGGTTGTTGGTGTTGGTGTTGGTGTCGGAGTCAGCGGCAGAGGGACTCCAGATCCAGACCCGGAAAAAGTCCCCGGGTTCGCTGCTGGGGTCCGCGGTGGCGGTGGGGGCCTCGAAGCGCGGGTATTTGAGGTTCTCGGCCTCGACCTTGAAGGCGGCCTCGACGAGGCCCCGCTGGACGAGGGCCGCCGGCACGGGCAGGAACTGCCAGTGCACGTGGATGCCGTTCCCCCGGCTGACCTCCCAGGTGACGGCGCCGAGGGCGCCGGCGGCGCGGCGCTGGAGCATGGCGTGCAGGGCGGTGCGGTAGCGGGTCATCTCGGCGTAGGTGGCGCGGCGGGAGGATTCGTCGGTAATGGCGGGCAGGGTCGGGGTGTGTGTGAAGGGGATGATGAGCATGTGGCCGGGGAAGTTGAGGTCGTGGCGGGCGAAGGTGCGGGCGGTGGGGAGCGGGCCCTTGGCGGTCGTGAGGTAGCTCTCCTCGCCGATGGAGGTGATGAGGTGGGTCGCGATGTTAGGGTTGGACAGGCAGAAGAAGCATTGATCGGGGCCCGGGGGTGGCAGGCCGCCGTTGTTGCGGGCCCGTTTGCGGGGCCGGTGCTCGTGATGCTGGTGGCTTTGATCGAAGCGCTGGAAGCTGTCTTGTTGGCTGTCGAGGGGCTTGCGTTTGAGGTGGGCTGGGGCGGGGAAGGGGGAGGCGGTTGCGCCGGCCGGGATGGTCAGCGGCGCGGCGGCTTTCGGATCCAGCGTGAAGGCGTACATCCATTTCTGTTTGCTGGCCTTGCGGTAGGAGGCGAGGCTGATGAAGCGGGTTAGTGGCTTGGTGTCGGGGTTGTCGTCCTCGGAGGTGGGGAGGTGGAAGAAGGGTTCGCGCTCGAAGAAGAAGTCCGGCGTGGAGGTGAGGTGGTAGCGCGGTTTGAGCGTCGAGCAGAGGTCGGAGATGCATTGGACTTCTTCCGGGGGCGCCGTCGTCGCGGCCTCTTCCAGGAAGGGTGCCTTGGAGCCCGTGCGGATCCCCTTGGGCCATTGGTTGGTGATGAGGATGTCGGCGGAGTGCGCGCCGTAGAGGGTGCGAGCGTCGGATTCGGTGTAGCTGGGCTGGTACTTGTCGGAGGAGGCCTGGTTGTCTGTCGAGAGCTTGCCCCCCAGGGTGACGATGCGGATGCCCTCGGCGGTCTTCAGGGTGCCGCGGCGGCCCAGGAAGTATAGGTTAGGGCAGACTTCATCGTTGGCCTCGATCGCCTCGATCACTCGCGTGGGGAGTGGCCGGCTGCCCAAAGAGAAGTAGGTTGGAAGAGGTACGGCGATGCTGCCTGAGAGCAGGGCGGATATTTGCTCCAACTCATGCTCCGTCGAGCAGTCACCGAAGAGGTCTCCGACGATGATGGCGAAGGAGAAATTCTGCTTGACATGCAGCTTCGCAAGTTTGGTAAAGACGTCTTGGAGCTCACAGTTGACACCTCCGATGACGACACTGGGGAGATGTCAGTGAATATGTGACGGGACTGTGACCGGCGCACTCACATCTTGGAAGCCATGTTGCGATTCGATACTATGATGCAAGAATCGAGGCTGGCGCAATTGGAGTCGCACTGGACTCAATCAGGGTTGTATGGACTTCAGCCTGTTGGTATCTGCGTTTGCGCAATGAGAAACCCAGTTGTTCTTCCAAGCCCGCAGTGAGTCCAATCCAATATATTGACTCCAAAGTATGTATCTCGTAGATTGAATTGAATGGAATGAAGACTGGGCTGGATCGCCAAAAATGGAGCGGCAGGAGCTTGGGCCCACTGCGGCCCACGTGATAAGCCTTGCCAGTTGCCAGTTGTTAACCCCGGCGCTAAAAGAGACAATCTCCGCACCCGGAACAAGGTTGCCGCGGCACCGATGAATTTTTTTGTCTATACGGCAAAGAGGGGCGGTGATTGAACCAGCTCCCATCATTTTGATATTATTAAATCCATATACACAGCGGCGCTGCTTATTTTTCGTCGCCATCATACATCAGGATGGTAGCAGCGTCGTCTTCTTCGCGGTCGAAGCCCGTGAAGCGGGTCAAGGGAGGGACAGAGACAACCAAGTCGCATCGATTCGAACCGTTTTCGCAGCGCGTCGCAAAGCTCAAGATCGACCCCATCCATCGCGTGCGCCGCCCCAGCTTTGGTGAAGAAGGCGATGAGACCTCCTCCTACTTCCGTTCGGCCTTCGACCACTGGGTTGAGTTGAACCTCTCCGAGAACTTCGTACAATTCGCCCGCCGAGTCAACCCGCTGTGCGAGAGTCTGGCCCAGATCCTGTACCATGAGGACAAGATCATGAACCTGCTGGTGGAGTTCATCGAGAAGAGGGATCAGTTGTCGATAGAGCCACTCTTGGCTCTTCTTGCCCAATTTGCACGAGATCTGGGTGTACGCTTCGAGAAGCACTTCGCCACGGCCGTCACCCTCGTCGCATCCGTTGCAGCCACCCATACCGACGTCGAAGTTGTCGAATGGAGCTTCAGCTGCCTGGCATGGATCTTCAAGTTCCTCTCACGACTTTTGGTCCCAGACCTCCGGCAGCTGCTGGGTATCATGACACCCTATCTCGGCAAAGAACGACAAAAGACACATGTTGCCCGATTCGCCGCCGAGTCCATGTCATTCCTTATTCGCAAGGCGGGTCTGGTCTATTACAAGAACCCTACTCCCCTACAACGTGCGGTCTCATTCCTCCTGGAGGATCTGCGCCAAGCAGCTGGTGACGACAAAAATGTTGATATCTACAAGGACGGACTTATGGCCATGTTCTCCGACGCCATCAAGGGTGTCAAGAATGGCATTCACTCCAACGGAACTGATATCCTGACTTGCATTCTGGAACATATCTGCACCGGGGATGATCTTCAAAGCAGTTTGGCACTAGACGTCGCTTGCGGATTGCTTATCAACATAATGCACAATACGTTCGCCGAGACCTATGAACCCATCCTGGATACCGTCCGCTCTTACATCGAATCATCCTGCTCCAAGACCGACAAGCAACATGCGAACGCATGCTGTCGCCTGATCTTCCAGTGTATTGCCACTCGCAAGGGTTCTCGAGTCAAGGTCTGGAAGCCTGTTCATAATGTCCTTCTTCGTCTGCTCAAGAAGGCTGCAGAGGCGCCGGAGGCGTACGCCGAGGCTGCCCCGCAGCTTCTGACAGCAGTCGCATATGCACTTCAAGTCTCCCCAATGGATGAGATGTTGCCATACATGCGTTCACTCATGGATGCTGTGACCAGCGACAAACTTTCATCCTTCTTCTTGCCGTTTTGCGCTACCTTCTCGGAGTGGGGTCCCGAGAGATTCCATAGTGTCGTCCTGCCTTATTTCCAGAAATTCGTCAACACATTGTGGCAGCAGCACGAGCATGAGCTCTGCCTGGCCTTGTTGCGGCTGAACCAGGCTGGTTGTATTACATCAGAAGTCTCCAAGCCTGGGTACATCACCTGCCCTGCATCGTGGAAATCCCGTGTCAAGGATACTCTGAGCAAGCCCACACACAATGCTACCGAATTGAGTCTTGTCAACGCATATTCTAAGCTCCCGAATGCAATGTCGTTGTCAACAGAACCGACTTTGTTGCCCGATATGGTACAAACCTTGCATGGTCATCTGCTTCGGACCCTGAAGAAGAACAAGAAGAATGTGGATACGTCTGCGACAACCAAATTCTACTTGGGCCAGGGCTTCAAGGCATATGTGGAACTTGCCTTACAGTCCGAGACACTCGACCGCTCTCTCTGGAAGCAGATCAGTGCAGTAGCCGCGACGTACTCTCGTCTTCCAGTGTTCC